CATGATCTTGTATTTTTCTCACAGTTCCTCCAGAACTATGAAAAATGTCTACAATTTATGAATTACCCAGATAGAGATATTTTGTTAAAGGAACACAAATGGACTAAAACAGTTGCATATCAAGTACTTTTATTATTTCATTTTTCCTCACTTTGGCAGTTACATTATTCTATTCTGTTTGGAAATTACACTAGAATTTGCAATAAACATTCTTGAACTAACAAAATTAATCAGTTAACTTAATTTGACTCTCTTCCAAAATAGTGCAAGGACTCAGGGACACTTTAAATCAAATTGTCCTGTCCCTCCAATTAGTATGCGATTGTTATCAATATTTTAAGCCCTGCTTTTATGCATTCGTCTAGATTTATCTATATGTGTATCTCTTTTATAGCTCATAATTTCTTTTTTTTTTTTTTTGAGAATTTTAATATTTATTTTTTAGTTTTCGGCGGACACAACATCTTTGTTTGTATGTGGTGCTGAGGATCGAACCCGGGCCGCACGCACACCAGGCGAGCGCGCTACCGCTTGAGCCACATCCCCAGCCCCTCATAATTTCTTCTTGCACATCTGAATTTGCACTGATGACATGCTCTTTCTCCTGAAAAACCCTCATTACTAGTTCTGGGGGTTTTGTTTGTTTTTTATTTTTTAACTGGGGATTAAACCTAGGGCATTCTGCCACTGAGCTACATCCTCAGTCCTTTTCTTGATTTTGAAAGAGGGTCTAAGTTGCTAAGGGTCTTGATAAATTGCTGAAGGTGGTCTTGAAATTGTGATCCTCCTGCCTCAGCTTCCCGTGTCTCTGAGATTACATGCCACTGCCTGACTCATTAGTAGTTCTTCTGATGCTCCTGCCTAGTGCATATTCTCCCTCAATTTTTTTATTTAAATGTCCCTTTTCCATCATAATTTCTTAGGATATATCATAGGATGCACAGAATTTTTATCTGTCAGCTATTTCCTTTCAATTGGAATAAATATTCCATCCTTGTCTTCAGCCTTCTCCTAGAACTATTGAGAAACCAGTTCTCTGCTAGGCTTTATAAGGTAAACTCTGTCTTCCTCTGAATACTTTGTTTTTGTTGTTCTGTTTTTCTGTAATTTCATTTTGTCATGTTTGGGCATAAATGTCTGTTATTTTTCTTGGTTGATTTTTGCCAATATCTTAAATTTTATCTCTAATATGTGATGAAAATATTTTAGTCACTATTGGTTCAAGTTTTTTACCTATTCCCTCAGATATTCTTCACTGCCTAATAAACTCTTTGAGGTTTTAAAGACTTTATTTAAAAATTTTATCTATATACTTTAGGTATTTTTTATTTAAAAAGTTGGTATGAAAGGTTGATTCCACCATTAAAGTCTTAATTCAATTTCAATGACCTGAAGAACATAGAAACCCCTAGATGAAAATGAAAACAATGGTGTCCTAGTCCTTTTTGTGTTGCTATAACAGAATACCTACGACTGGGTAATTTGTAATGAATATAAATATATTGGCTCACGTTTCTGGAAGTTGGGAATTCTAAGATCAATGCACTGGCATCTGGTGATGACTTTCTTGCTGCATTATCATATGGTAGAAGTTGAAAGGGCAAAAAGGCAAAGGGGGACTGATTTCTCCCTTATATATTGTCAATAATCCCATCCATGAGGGTACAGCCCTCACATCTGCACCTGTCAAAGGTACCCCCTCTTAATACTGTAACAATTGAAAGTAAATTTCAACATGAATTTTGGAGGGGACATCAAAACCACCCCTTAAAAAAGCTCACGTCCTTCTCACATATAAAATACATTCATTTCACCCCAATAACCTCAAAAGTCTAAACTCATTAAAGCATCAATTCAAAAACCCAAGTCCAGAGTCTCATCTACATCAGATATGGGAGAGGTTCAGCCACAATTCATCCTAAAGAAAATTTCCCTCCAGCTTTAAATTTGTGAAAACAAATAATTCACTTTCAAAATATAATGGTAAGACAGGTCTGGATAGACGTTATCTTTCCTAAAGGAAGCATCAGGAAAGAAAAAGGGGTTAAAAAAAAGTCCCTAGTAAGCCCTACTGGATAGTATTATTCAAGAGCTGAATAACACTAAATCCTAAGGCTTGAGAATAATGTCCTTTGACTCCATGACCCACCTTTTAGGCATACTGAGGTAGGGGTTGAACCCCCTAAGGCCTCAAGAATGTACATCCACATGATTTTTCTAGGTTCAATTCACACAGCAGCTCTATTGGGTTGGAAGTGATGTCTGTAGCTCTCCCAGACTGGCATTGCGTACTTACAGCTCTACAATTCTGAGGTCTCCGTGCATTTAAGCCTCCAGGCTCCATTAGAACTAATAGGGATTCTCCTTGGTAGCTCTACCCCTGAAGCAGGTTTCTGCAACTTCCTTTTGAATTCAGATGAAGGCAGCTGTGCCTCTGTGGCTCAATCACTCTGCAGACCTGCAGAATTAGCACCACTTGGCTGTCATTAAGATATATGGCTTACACCTTCCAGATAAGCAACTAGAGCCAAATCTAAGCCTGTTTAAGCCCCGACAAGGGCAGTCTAGGAGCATTGCACAAGAATGTGATGAACCAGCACTTCAGGGAGTACAGGGGAATAAATACCGAGGTCCCATGGTTTCCCTACGCCCCTCTATAAAAAAAAATTTCTGCCCTAAAGGCACTAGCATTCTGAGCCTCAAAGATCTCTGAAATGCCTTCAGAATCATTCTTCCACTGTTGTGAAGAATAGCACCTGGCTTCCTTCTGTTGTACTAATCTCCTTATCAAATGGCTGCTTGAAGACATCGTTGGCTATTTCTCCTAACATACTTCTTTATTCTTTACATAAGCAGGCTAAGAATTTTTCATATCTTTATATTTTGCTTCTTTTTTAATAAAAGTTGTATCTTTAAATTATTTTTTTTCTTCTAACATTACAATATGCAATTAAGAAGAGCCATGAAGCATTCTGGATGAATTGCTGCTTAGATATTTCTTCCAAAAAATACCCTAGTTTATCACTCTCAAAATTCTGCCTTTCATAGAGCCCTAAGCCATAGATTTAATTCAGCCAAGTCTTTTGCAGCTTTATAACAAGAATGTCCTTTCTTCTGGTTTCCAAAACCTTGTTCCTTTTTTCTAAGAATTTATCATAATTACCTTATTTATCCACATTTTTTATCATTATTATAAAGACACTTAAGTAATCTCTAAGCAGTTTCAGACTTTCCCTGCAGTTCTTATCTTCTTCTGAGTACAAATCAGAATTTCCCTAAATGCTTCATTCATGGCACTTCAAGTTTTCCTTGCCTATACCTCCAAATTCTTCTAGTTTCTATCCATTACCCAGTTGCAAGGCCGCCTCTACCTTTCTAAGTTTTTGTTACAGCAACACCCCACTTCTCTGGCACCAATTACTGCCTTAGTATATTTTGGATTGTCATAGCAAAATACCTAAAACTGGTCTTCAGGCTGGAAAGGCCAAGATGCCAGCATCAGCAGGCAAAGAAGCAAAACAGGATTGAAAGTTCAGCCCTTTTATAACAGCTTTAATCTCACCCATGAGGACACAGACTTTATAGCCTAATCATCTCTCAAATGTCTCAGATATTAATATTGTTATAATAGCAACTAAATTTAAACTTGAGTTTTGCAGAGGACAAATCCTCAAACCTTAGTAAATGCCATTCCTATTATAGCAAATGAAGAAAGATGTGATAAAGGTGAAATCTAAGAAGTAGGAGAGGATAAAATGAGGTGAGATTGAAGAGAGATTTAAGAAGGTAAATTGCAAAGACATGGTCTACTAAATTTGTGTAAGGAGGAAAAGAAAGAAATAGGAGTGTGATAGTAGGAAACCAATAATGCACACACAGAGACATACACACACAAAAAAAAAACTTGAATAAGGTAAGAAATTGAAGCATGAAACCTTATTTGCTGTTCTTAGGGCAGGGCAGAGAGAAGGAGATACTGTCCTGTATTCAATGTTTCATCAATATACATTAATGAGCATTTGAGTCTATACACAATTATGAATAAAATCAGCATATAGACAGTTATTTGTGTGATATGATGTAAAGATAATATTAACTACATGAAGATGAGGAATAAGAACTGAGCGATGCAAACCAGGTCAGTAATAAATTCAAACAGCAAGAGAGCAAATAAATATCATTAAATTACTTACAAAGAAGTGACAGGAAAGAATGGAACCAGTCGATATAGATTTCACAGAAACTAATACAAAAAATATAATCAATTGGTGTTATCACTAGTTTTAAAAAACTATACATCAGGTCTGGGGTTGTGGCTCAGTAGTAGAGCACTCATATAGCACGTGTGAGGCCCTGGGTTTGATCCTCAGCACCACATAAAAATAAATAAATAAAATTGTTTTAAAAAACTATACATCAAACCAGGTGCAGTGGTGCACACCTGTCATCTCAGCAGCTCAAGAGGCTGAAGCAGGAGGATAAAAAGTTCAAAACCAGCCTCAGCAACTTAGCAGGGTCCTAGATAACTTAGTGAGACCATGCCTCAAAATAAAAAAACAAATAAAAAGTCCGGGGATGTGGCTCAGTGGTTAATTGAACCCCTGGGTTCAATCCCTGGTACCAAAAAAAAAAAAAACAAAAAACTGAACATTAAGCTATCTACTCATGCATATTTTCAAATTCCATCCCGCAGTTTACTCTATCCTTCAGCTTTTCTATGCAACTAATTCTGTATAAAAGGAAATGCAAAAATCAGGCTAAGCTGCAATTCACCCTAGCAAATAAAAAAGGAATCCATATTGAGAACACACACACTGATACCCTATACACACACAAAAAATTGTTGTTAACCAAAAAACTATATGGTGGAGCAATTAATGGAAGGGATGGAAAGAACTTGAAGACATGCATCATTAGTACACTCTTCTATTTGATCATGTGGCTGATACTTCCTAAGGTCAAGACACAGTCAAGACTAACTGTCTGTTTTTCACACAGCCATGGCCACAGCAGAGTGCACCCCTGATGAACCTCTGCTCAGAGGCAAAAGGAGGCAAGATCTCCAAGAGATGCTGAGAGAAGCAGGACTGGATGTTGAGTACTGGTTGCCCAAGCTGAAGGAAGACCTTGGTGTGACCTGTGCCCAGGCACTACAATATTTAAAAGAAAAAGACCTTCAGAAGCTGAAATCCCAGGTACAACATCCATGGGAGAAAAGGGCCCTAGAGAAGCTGATTGAACAGTCACACTCAAATGGTTTTCCAGGGTTACAGGAATCACTGTTGGAGACGATAAGGAAAAAGCAGAAGCAGGCAGAACAAGCACTGCAGGAGCTAAGAAGTTTGCTGTCAGAAGGGAGGCAGAGACAGGAAGAGGAAGTGAGGAAAAAAGAAGCAGAGCTGAGGCAAGCCATGGAGATCCCTGAAGAGTACTGGCCAGTGCCTGAAAAGCCCCTCAGGGATGTCACGGAAATCATGCAGAGACAACTCAGTCTCTTGGAGCAGACACTGTCCCACATGAAAAACCTCCCAGACAGAGATCTAATAAGATGGGCATCTGGAGGGCTGGCCTTGCAGGGAATTTACAAAACCAGTCACCAAACTGACCTGATACAGAAGAGAGAGGAGCTACTCAGTGTCCCCAAGGATTTCTCACTTTTTGGCCCTCAGCAGGGCACATGGATGGAAACAAAGGACTTTACATCTTTTCAAGAAGAATCCATGTTCACCCAGACTATAGAGAAGGTGGGCTTCAGTATCACTGCCTCTGCCAAAGGTGAAGGCTGGAAATATAGTCTGGAAGCTGGAGTGGATAAAAGCAAACATTCAGAATCCAAGGAAACTGAACAATCTCATTCTAAACATTCTTATTTCTGCTCAATTAAATTTAGCTACGTCCCCCTGGCCTCTTGCCACTTTCCCATTGATCAACTCCAGTTCTCCAAGCCTGCTCTTCAGGAATTGAAATGCATTGAAAATCTCCTGGATCAGACTGCAGATCCAGACATATTCCCTTTGCTGAGGCACAGGACTGAGAACTTCTTCCATAGGTTTGGTTCTCATGCTAACCAAGGCCCTCTACATCTGGGAGGAATCTACTGGTGGAAGGCAATTTCAGAGGGTTTTCAAAGTGAACAGCTGGCTGATGTAAAGCAGCAGATAGCAGAGGCTCTGAATATTTACATAAAGGGCAGCTTCAGTGGCTTTGGGGTAAATGTAGCTGCAGGTATGAATGTATCAGATGCTCTTTCCAAAAAAGCCTCTCAGAGCCAAACTTTACAAAATCTCCAAAACAAAGTCCAATTATCTGTGACTCAGACAGGTGGCCCACAAGAAGCAGATGGCCTCGTCCAGTGGAAAGCTGGCCTTGTTGCCAGCAATCAAACTTGGTGTGTCATTGACCGGGGACTTCAGCTAGTGCCCATTTGGGACATCATCCTCTCCAGCCACAGAAGTGATTTTAAGGATCCCCTTAAGGTAGCTAACTGCCTGAAAGACAACTACGCTGCTCTGACTGGCCTCACTGCCCAGATCCAGGATGGAGACGAATTATTGAGTGCTATGCAGGAGGCTAGAATTTTCCTAGATGATGTGAAATCCTGGGAGATATCTGATCCTGAAGAACAGCTTCAAAAACTGATAGATTTCATGCAAATGTTGAGTCAAAAAATAAAAGGTTATGACACTTGGATTAACACATGCCTCACGGACTGGGATCTTCAGAATTTTCTAGTAAACATTTTCAACTTTTGCAAAAGCTCTTCAATCCATAAAACTAGATTTATTAAATCACAGTTTCACAGCCTTCTCGATCCTCACGTCTACAAAGTGACAAACTTTCCTCAGGCTCACTCCATCATGCAGTGGATAAACCAATCAGAGTCAGAGCAAGAGCAACTCAACATCTCTCAATTTTCTGAGTTCATTAAAATTTTAAAAGAAACACAGGATGAACTTTTAGAAGTGAATGTCAATTCAGAGACCCCAGAAACGGTAGAAGAAGCTCAAAGAAAGGCTACCTATGAGGTCTGCTTAGCTCTCAGCTGCTTCTTGAATCACCTCCAAGCAACAGAGCAGCCAGACAAGCAGCTCTTGCTACTTTCCATTGCAGCTGGTGCAGGATATCAGGTGGTAAGCAATACTTTTCAGTATCTTCTAGGGTGCAATGAGTTAAACTTCTTACTGGATGAAATGCAAACTGCTCACAATAAATACCAAGAGCTCAAAAATATTTGCAACTATAGAGCTCAAGCATTCCTTATGCTCACAGGTCTGACTGCCACATCTGGAATTGCAGCTGTTTCTACAAAAGACAAAATACAGCGCATGGCATTTATGAGACATCATATAGAACAGTCACTGTCTAAAGAAGTTTTACAAGTCCTCAACAAACTTGGTGCAGATTATGATTGGCAAAATCTAGAAAAAGACTTGAAGTTACTCATTGATGGGGATTATGAAGCTACCATCTCTTCATTGCAAATGGACAAGGTGAGAAAACAATTGCAAAGTCTTTTCCATGGAAAGAAACATTCCCAGGAACCACATGATAATAAAAATAATAAATGGAAGGTGATAAAAAATGGAGCCTTCCTAGACTTACTCCAGCGTCTAGGCCTAGAACATTACTACCCAAAAAGGATGAGTAGAGCTAATTTCCATCTTATTTACAAGATTTCTGTGTACAACACCCAGCCCAAATCTGAATGGGAACTTCCTTTCTATTTCCTTCAGAAATTACTTATGCTGGATTATGGACTGAGACACTTGATCTTCAAAGATGATGAAAACACAGATCATCAGGTCTGTCCAAGTGCTTCAAGTGAGGAAAATGAGGTTTTAGATCCATATGAAGACTTTGTTGAAGACAGTGATAGTCTTACTGATCCTTTAGTCTCTAAGCCCAGACCCCATATTCACCCAATGGATATTCAGATGGCAATTTTTCACTGTGCAGATGATTTTGCCAGACAATATATTTTGGGCAAACTTTCCATTTGTCAATTTGCCCTCCCTCTTCTGGTGCCAAATCCCTGCACTTCTCAAATTGAATTCTCTCTCTGGTCTCTCAGACAAATTAGGAGAAGTTGGCAGCAAGGAAGCAAATTACCACAAGGGAAGAACAACACTTACAAGAATCTTCGTATGTGCCAGGTTTCCACCCCCATTGTGTCCTTCATTCGAGTTGGAAATGGCCTATCTGCTTCCAAATCTCAGATCATGAACTGTCTTCTCAGTAAACGTAAACATGATGTGTTTTTCCATCGACACTGCAGAGGAAGCAGCAAAGATTGTCTCTTGATGGGGGGTGTGGTAGAAATCTGTTGGTTCTGCCCTGGAGGGGAAGAGGAGGACAGGTTTGACAATTGTGTGACCTTCACCAATCTTCATGGAGATGCAAAGGAACATAAAAGGCAGCTTACCTTCCTGCAGGACATCTCTTCTCTCATCGTGGTCCTCATGTCAGCTTCTGATGACAATAAAGACAACCAAAGCGTAGTCCGTGACCTGTGGCAGTCATCAAGACCTCTGATCTGCTTGCTTGATGACAAAGAAAAATCCAAAGCCAATAATTGTAGTAGAAGAGTGAGAATTGGCATCAGGAATAGAAATGAGGCAGAATTGACAGAGGAGCTCACAACTACCATCAGACATTTGCTAGAGCTCTCTGACACAGCTCTCAGCCTAGAGGACTGTTCTCAGATTGCTCTTAAGCAAGGATTTCTGGTTGATGAACACCAAAGAGATTGCAAGGAAGCCAAAGAAAAGGCACAAACTATATTGGCCCTCCTGGGGGAAACAAAGTTATCTCATGTGAAAGAGAACTTACTACCCCTTCAGGGACAACTATGGCACCTTTGGTGTAAGAAGGACAAAGAATTCTATCATCTGAGAGAAAAGGGAAATCGGAGCATTGAACAACACAAGACTGAGATTGAAACAGATAAACAAAGAATACGACATCAACAGTTGAGAAAAGCCTTTCCTCTTAATGAGTTAATGCAATCTGTCCTTCAAATTCTCCAAGAGCATTCAGAAACTCACACCAAACTCTACTTCTTTCAGTGGCTGGGTATATTTTTGGACAACCTGACTGCAGAACACTTGGAAAAACTTCGTGAGAAACAAAGATATTTGTGGTCAATAGAACAAACAGAAAAGCAAAGGGCACAAAAGAGCAACTCCCTGAGACTCTGTCAAAATGAGATAGAATCCATCTCTACTGAGATTAATGACTGCACCTTAGGAATTGAGCAATTACTCAGAGAGGTTGGCCAGATCTATGAAGCTCTGGAAGAAACTTCCTCCACAAGAGATATACTTTTTCTCTCCCTTCCCCAAATTGCTGCAGACCTGATGATATCTGGTGTCCCCATAGAGCTGATGGATGGAGATGCTTCCTATGTGCCCCTAAAGTGGGTATCAGCTGTTTTTGACAAGCTCTCTGAGAAACTTGGAGACAAACGGCTCTTTGTTCTCTCTATCCTTGGCCTGCAGAGCTCAGGGAAGTCCACCCTACTAAATGCTCTTTTTGGGCTGCAGTTCACTGTAAGTGCAGGCAGGTGTACCAGGGGAGCCTACATGCAGCTCCTGAAAGTGGATGAGTCATCCAGAGAGGAACTTGGCTTTGACTTTGTGCTTGTTGTAGACACAGAAGGACTTCGGGCCCCAGAACTCAGCAACAAGTCCCAGAATTGGGACAATGAGTTAGCCACCTTTGTCATTGGAATTGGAAACTTGACTCTGATCAATATTTTTGGAGAGAATCCATCAGAGATGCAGGACATCCTACAAATAGCTGTCCAAGCCTTTCTGAGGATGAAAAAAGTGAAAATCTTCCCAAGTTGCCTGTTTGTTCATCAGAATGTGGGAGAAGTTACAGCTAAAGACCAAACTATGGAAGGACGAAGGTGCCTAGAACAGAAGCTAGACGAAATGGCAATAACAGCTGCTGAACAAGAAGAGTGCTCAAATGTAACCCACTTCAGTGACGTTATAAAGTTTGATGTCAATACTCACGTATACTACTTTGCTCACCTCTGGGATGGCAATCCCCCTATGGCCCCTCCCAATCCTCGATATAGCCACAATGTCCAAGAACTGAAAAGTAGAATTCTTTTAACTGCCAAACATGAATCCAGGGGTAACATCATGAAGATATCAGATGTAAAATTCAGAGTTCAAGATTTGTGGAGAGCCCTGGTAAATGAGAATTTCATTTTCAGTTTCAGAAACACACGAGAGGTCATGGCCATGAGCAAACTAGAAACCATGTATAACCACTGGACCTGGGAGCTCAGAAGTCATGTGCTGGACTTGCAGAATCAACTAATCAACCAGATTCAGAATGGAAAGATCCACACACTCAATGCTAGCATATTTGAGGCATCAGTTACAGAAAAATATATAGCTATCAAGCAAGAACTTGAAAAATATTTTAATGAAGACCCAGATAATGAAATACTGGTTCAATGGAAAGCAAATTTTGAAAATAAGCTACTCATCCTTAAAGAGGCACTTATTTCAGATAGTAAAAGAAAAGCCAATGAACTTATTCATTTTAAAAAAAATCAAGAAAGGTTAGATAAGAAAAAGATAGGTTATGAAAATGAATTATTGGAAAGGAGCAGAAAATTAGCTTTAACTGTAAAGGGTAAAGAATTGAGTGAGGAAGAGTTATATGAGAAATTCAACCAACTGTGGAAAAAATGGGTCTATGATGTGTCTTCAGATCTCCCTCAAGTTATAGAGCCTGACATTGATGTAGATTCTGAAAGCATCCTTTGGGAATATTTCCAAAAGGAGGCAGACATGGTAGACATACTAAAGAGAGATTCTGGAGAGAAGTTTCAAATCAATTATGATGAACATATCAAAATGAATAAAAAATATAACTTTATGACAAGGACACTAAAGCCCCGTGATATAGAATCCATTAATATGATTACTGACCACATTGTTGCAAGATTTAATGAAACTATTAACAACATTCAGAGGCAACAATGTGATTACAATCCAAGTTATTTCCATGAAATCCTAAGAATCATAGATGAGGAAGTAAAATCTGCATTCACTGAAAAAAGATACACATTTACAAGTAAATATAACACTGAATTATCTTTGTGTTTATTCCAAAAAGCATCAAAGAGTTTTAAGGAAATGCACAAAGCATTCAAAAGAGCAAATGATCCTGTAAACTATCTAGAAAGCAAGAAAGATGATTTCTTTATGAGCTTTAAGATCTCCTGTCAGGGTGCAACTTCCATCAAAACATTTGTTGATTTTCTGTGGCACAAGCTAACTCCTGCTGTCTCTGCCACTATATGGGAAAAAATGATCATTAAAATAGCTGGGGACATGCAAGCAACCTGCCCTGCGTTCAATGGAAACAGGGCTAACCTGGAGAAACACATTCTTATTTCTCTGGCAGAAGAAGAAAACTTTGATAATTATTGGCAATATCTTCATAATACAAAATCTTTTTTTAGCAGTTACATTGAAAACCATATCAAAAGATATTGTTCACACAATGGAAGTGAAAAAATAAAGACTTTTTTCAAAATAAGTTTAGACAACATCAAGAATGCCATCCTTTCTGCCATTCGTGAATCCACAGCGGTAGCTAAGGATAAAAGCAGCACTGTGTCTGAATGGTTGGATTTGTTCTGTGATCACCTGGGAAACAATTTGTTCTTCCCCCGAAGAGATCTGATAAGCATTGAGCACCAGGAGATAAAAGATATTGAATTTCTGAAAGAAGCCATGAGTGCAGCTTTGGATCCTGCAATGAAGAAAGTAGAACAGAATTGTTCAAGTATGCCTATAGAAGAAATGGTCCCTGAAATTGAGAAAATCCTCTCTGAACATCTCTGTGGCTGCTGGAAACAATGTCCCCTATGCAATGCAATTTGTACAAACACAATTCCTACACATGAAGGAGATCATAGCGTTCCATTTCACCGTCCCCAGGCTGTGAATGGATGGTATAAGCATAAAACAGACCATTTTGTAATTGACTGCTGTACTAGTTCAGTAGCAAGTAATCGTTTGATGTATCTGGGAAATGACCAGGAAATCCCTTATAAGAACTATCGGCAGGCAGGAGGGGACTATGCCACATGGAGCATCACCCCAGATTCATCCACCCAGCCATATTGGAAATGGTTTGTCTCACATTTCAGATCTAAATTAGAAGAAAAATATCAGAAAAAATTTACAGATACTGGTAAAATCCCTGATGCATGGGCCAAAATCACAAAGCAGGATGTGCTTGATGACTTGAAAAATCAGTAATTCTCAATTACCACAAAAGAGCCCCAGCATTTGGGAAAAGAAAAAAAGAATAGTTCCTAAATAATCCTAAAACACCTCCTTTTTATAAGAAATTTCAATATTTCCATTTTAAAAATGAAATGTGTAAAATTTTGAAGATTTTTTTTTAAATAAAAGGATTTCAAATTACTCCTGTGTTGCTCCCTGCAAGGGTACGTGGGAGACAGGCAGGACCAGCCTGTCGTCTCCGAGGGGCTGAGCGAGAGGGTAAGTGTCGCAACCCGGCCCGCCACCCAGCCTGGCCAAGAATCACATGGAGTCGGGAGTTGAGTCAACCATGGAGGTGCAGCAATCTCAACTTTATTGTGTCGGGGACAAGGTTATATAGTGATAGAAGGAGGGAGTAAGAAGAGACAGTAGCAAGAACCAATAAGGGGCAGTTACGTCACTATCATTAAGGGGCCTAGGCAGATTTCAGATTAAACCATTAGGCGGGGATAAAGTCAAAAGCCCGCACGCACGGGCTAAAAGCCCGCGAACACCAATCCAGCCAGGTCACGTATACCGAAATGCTCTGAAAGAACCCATGAGGCCACCTCAGCCTACACCCAATAATGGCCGTGGTCCCAAGGGAGGTAAAAGGTCCCAACACTCCTGGAATAAAATTTATGATGATCAAGTAAAATAGGACATTTTCATTATGTCTATGAAGAAAGTCAAAATTGATTAAGTCATTAATGATTACAAAAAAATATTTCTTAAAGGAAAAGTATCAAAAAATATATATTTATATATGTATATATGTGTGTATTATTGTATGCATACACATACATATGTGTGTACATGTGAATATATACATACTATAGTTTTTTAAATCTTCCAGTAATTAAATTTAAGTGTTGTAGTATTTCAACAGAAATTTTCATTTTACATATAAAAATGAAAGGAAATACTTATCTCCAAGTCAAACATATTTTGCCTCTTTGCACCTTTGAGTTTGAAGGGTATGATCAGAATAAAAATTAAGAAAATTTTGAAACCAACCAAATGCTTAAGAGGAGAAGGAAATCACCCTTCAGCAAATCTACCACTTATGCACAGTTCTCAAAACTGATGATCTACAGGAATCTTGATATAAAGAAAATTTCTTCATGTTGGACATAAAGGCATCCATTGGCTTCTATTTACAGATACAATCTTGACCCTTCTATAGGCAGGGAAAACAGTCAAGGGAACAGGAGTCCAACAACTCAGATCTTCAGAAATAGAAGATAGAAATGCTGACTCTGTCCTTTTTGTCCCTTCAAAGTGTTTAAAGCATATTGTCCACTTCAGGTCAAATGACTCCTGTCTTCAAAGTCTTTTAAACAGAAAAATTATAAAGGATATAGGTGTCCTGAACAGTATGCTTTTCCCTTTGTTCTCTGAAAAATAGTCTTGGTGAAAGTTGGGAGCATCTCCTACTAGGATAAAATTGAAATGGTGATGGGCACAGAAACCCCGCACAGCAGGGTGCCTGTCTCTCACATCACTGCATCCTGGGAAAAGGCTCAATGTTCAACTAACATTTGCCCAATGCTTTTCCTATTTGTTTAACATATCCATAAAAACCTTTAACTAAAAAGTATATGACATACGTTACTTCTAATTTTTAAGCCAAAAATATTCTGTATAAATCAAAAAGGTCTTTGATAATTCCTCATGTATTTAAGCAGTGTGATTACCAAATGAGATTCAGAGGTTATTTTTTGAGAGATCAAAACAAAAAACTGGGGGAAAAAGTTAACTGGGATAGAGAGATTACTATGTAGGAATGAATGGTATTTACTATGATAGAAGTAGAAAAAATAATCTAGGTGAGGTCAGAATTGAAGGGGATTACTGTGTCAGTGAGCTGGGTATCACTGGAGAAGGAGACCTCAGGAACAGTGGAGTAGGAGGAAAGAAGTCAGTGGAGATCAGATCATTAAGAGGAGAGAAACTAGGTTCAGGTATAAGTCATAAAATTAGAGGTGGCAAGAGTTATAAGATTAATGAGGATAGAGTTCTCAAGGGAAACAGAATGAGTCTCAGAGCACTGAAATGGGTAGCCGAGAAACAGGAACTGGAAATCACTACATCAGTAGATTTAGGGATCTCTAGTCAGTTTATACTCCAATTAGAATGGGAAAGGAGTCACAAGTCCTGTAGTGATGTAGTCAGGAGGGCAATGGATTCTTGAACATATTTCATAGGATAAGATATGAATGACTCACTTATATATGGACTCTAAAAGTTAGAAGGCATAAAGGTAGACAGTAGAATGGTAGTTACCAGAGGCTGAGGGGAGAGTGGGAAAAGGGGGGAATTTTAGTTTAAGAGTGAAGTTTTAGTTAAACAAGAGGAATAAATTCTGGTGATATACTGACAGCAAAATGACTAGTTAATAATGTACATTTCAAAATTGCTAAGGTTAATTTTAAATATTCTCACCACAAAAAGTAAGTCAGTGAAATAATGGACATGTTTATTAGCCTGATTTTCTTATTCTACTATGTATACATACATACATCAAAGCATCACATTGTGTCCCATAAATATGTACAATTATATTTGTCAATAAAATCAGAATTTTAAATGAAAATGTGAGTTAAATGAAGATGCACTGAGAAGTTCTAAAGCAAGTCTCTTTTCTTAAAGACAGAATATGAATACCAGAAAGTCTAGGGAAATAAGATATGTCTAAAAATTGACCACCTTAAGTTTTAGAATGCTTTTCCTTTGGTCTCTAGAGAAAGACATATAAAAAATACCATTTTCATTTTTCCCTTACCTCAGAACTATAATTCTTTCCATTCCAACTCTTCAAAAAAGTCTGAAAAACTATTCAACTCTCCATTTTAGTGGTGTGGTACATAAGTAGACAAGGCAGCAAAGGAAAAATGAAATATTATCACTCATATTGTCATGATGACTACTAAGATTACTATCATTATAGTAACAGTGCCATGAAACCTTGGGCTTCTAATTTAACCATTGAGTGCTCAAGTGCCCTAACCATAAAATGATAGGTTTCTCATGATCCCTTTGGAAAGAATAAATGAATTGCTGTATTTAAAGCATAATCCATACACAGAGTTAAGTATTCCATAAGTTATTCTGTTATACTGCCTCTCCTAAGTTCCTTACCTTTTTATTTTGAATAAGATTTGATTAGAACCATGTTCATAGGTTGAAATCATGTCATCTGAGTTTCATTGGAAGTAATATTCAACATGGACTCCTTGGGAAAAATCACATTTTAAAATACAGTCCTCAATAAATATGATTATAACTTAATAGCCCAAGATGCAGTTCAGAATATCAAAGTTCTTTGGCACTTTATTAGCAATTACAGCTATTCTAAACACTGACAAATCAAAGGTTTAGCAAGGTCACTCCCACAAATGTCTTAGATTGCTCAGAAGCAAACCTGAGACATAGATTTGCATGAAAGTAATCATTAAAGAAGTTATTCCAGTAAAAATGAATAAGGGAGAGAGGAATCAAGAATAAGAAATTTAAGATGGAAAAGTATAAGTCAAGAGTTAGACTTAGGGAATGCTAACTTGGAATTGTAGTTATGTGCACAAACTTGGAAATTAGATTGTTTAGCTGTGCGGTGTACAGCCTGCACCATTTACTAGCTGTCTGACTTTGAATGAATCAACCTGTCTCTACTTCATGCTTTTCACCTATAAAATGTTTTCAACTCACAGAAGTGTGAGGAAGACTTGAAATAATACATATGCCTGTCACATGGCATGTGTTCTCATGTTAGGTAGTACTAGCACCAGGGAACAAAGTCATGTTAATAGAAGTAATTATATTAGTTATTTACATTATTACTGAAATGTGGTTATGCTTACATGCTATGTTCAATTGTAAATTTATAAAAAAAAAAAAGCAGGTCCAAGTTCTATATTTTGATCCAAGTAGTGGTGACAAAAGTTTGTCTCATTTTTTTTCTTTGCCTATATTTTATTTTCTCTAAATGGGATTTGAAAAGTAAGTAGAATTAAAACAATAAACCACGTAATCTAGTGGGGGATGAGGGGAAGAAAGACAGAATAAAAACTTTCTTACGTTTCTTTGACAGCAGCTATTTAATAGTCCCACAATCCTAATTATTTTTAGTGAAATCCAGGGGGTTTGCATTTTTTTTTTTTGCATTTTTTTTCTAAATTGAAAAAGACATGAACCAGAGAACGTTCTCCTGGGAACAACCTCCATAATAACTTAATTATCTTTGGTACTTTCCTTTTGAAATATAAAAACAATCATGTTTATCTGGTAGTTTACACTGTGATTCCCATTAGCTCCTCTGTGGCAGGACAGAAATGGGCCCCCCAGATCCTCCTTCAGAGAAGGACTTGCAGGAGGGGAAAACTCCAGTTAAGAGGAGAAGAGAAAACAGCCACTCATCAGCTGTCACATCTTCTACATCTGCCTCACTTGCTAAGAGCCTCTTCACCAAAGGTCATGCCCTCCTGGTGTATGTGGATCCAGTGACTGAGTGAGACACAGAAGCCCAGCCATGTTGTCCTGACACAGGATGCCCTGATAGTCTTCACTCATTCCAGAACTCCCGCCTAGTTCAAGAGGAGAGAAGCATTAGACATAGCTACTATGATAAGCCGCTTATTAGTCAGTGATAATTCAAAAAACAAAAATGGAGTGGATTTTTAAAAAGAGGGGTAAAACTGATAAGCATAAAAAGAACAGATATTCTTCCGCATGCCTTTGAATTTGGAGTAGGAAGGTGGGGTCAGGGATAATCCTGAAAATGCATTCCTTAGGAATACTGACATAGAAGTAAAAGTTAAACTGAGCCAAAATAAGGTCCTAGGTGCTCCAGACTAGAAATATTCCTAGCAGAAGAAAAATTTCCTCATTCCATGTACTGGGGTGACACCTACAGGTACAAAGAAAAATTCTTTCCTTCCATCCACCAAATTAAATCTATAAAGTTTATCAAAGACTTGCCTTAGCATCTTGTTATT